AGCTGTGTCATGAAGGGGCGCTCGAGGCCGAGTAGACTTGGATGGCGGATTGCATGTGCCATTGTTGTTGGTATATGAAGATTGCGCAGATCGGGCGGTGAAGCTCAGGGGCAATCGTCCCAATCATTGCAGGTCCTCAACAGTTTTGGGGACACATGGACACACATACGCACTGCTGAGATTCTCACGATGATTGCTCGGGCTTAAGCCCTTCGGCCCTTCCTGAAAAATCGTTGCAATGGCGACCCGGTGTCGATCCAGCTGTCCATCCAGATGCCTGGCACCGGTGGGCCGGCCGGACCGACATCCAGGTGAAGCACTTGGACCCAGCGGGACCGACTCCGACGGTCGAAGGGCGTTTCATGTGAATCGTTGCTTTGAACATAATTAGTTATAGAATTTTCAATGTTGCGAAGGTACATGTGCTTCTTTGACATTCATTTATGCATATTGGATGAGAGGATGCAGAAAGATCATCCTGGAGAAGACGGACGCCAGAGGCGTTTGCCAAAGTTCCTGAATCTTAGCTTCGGACATTTAAGATTCTTGAAGAAGATTTCAGCTTCCGTGTTTCTGATTCTGTTGTCCCATGCATGCTCTGATTGCGGAAGGTTCTTCACGGCATGCAGGACTGCAGCAGCGAACTCCGAAGGCAAAGGCAGACTGTCCAGGCTAGCATACATGTTAAGCAGCGAGCAGCGCTGGGTTTCGAAAACAAATGGAAGATTACGAGCACGCCTGGAGGTTTTCTAGTGCTTCCGCTTCAACCGCGGCAAGCGTGGGCTGCAATGATGCGTGGCAAGCTTGGCTTTGCACAGGTTTGTATCATTCTGCATTAAAGTGTACAATGTGAGGTTGGATACTTGAAGTCTCTATGGAGATTGATGAAGAGGCTTGTGGGGCTGGAAATGGCTGGAATGACAGCTGAGCAAAATGTCGTATAACGGCTGACAACAAGTGCAAAGATGACTGCTTGCGAGTTCGCGCAGTCATGAAATCTCCAAAGCTGGACGTGGCTCCCGATGAAAGCTTAAGCTCCAGGAGGCCGACCAACACCTAGCCGCCAGTGTCTCATGGAACAAAGGATCTATCATATAGGATCCGCTTCATCTAGGTGGCGCGTGAGGACACGTTTTGGGTAACTTGTACTTCTTTGGCAGAGTGCAAAGCCGAGTTTGGCCTCGTTTTGTGGAGGGTGCTTCCTTATCCGTGCCCCCTTCCTCCTCTCGAGCCTCCGTGGCTCAGATGTACTTGAGATCGACGAACGAAGTCGTGTTTTTTTCCTTCAGCAAAACTGTGACCTACGACGTGGCTACAAGCTTTCCATTTTCCATGAGTGGCACAAGATTTGCTTAGCTTCCAAGACCTTTGCCCTGAAGAAAGGGGTGAGTACCTTGATGTTGCAGTAGCATTGCTGTCTTGTTGCACATACCATACTTGGCATCCTTGCCGCTGTGATTTCGTTGATTCCTGGCTTGGCGTTCCTCCTTCCTTTGCCTTTCCCTTTCTCTTGACACCAAGTTTCATTCTAGCTTCGCGCAGCACCGCGTGAGCCAATCATTCTCATCTGAATCTTCAGCCATAGTGGCATCACGGATTGTCCATCAGGATCTAGAATCATCTAATTAGATAGCCAGCAATCCAGCTGTCAACATTCGTCACCCACTTCATGTCAGCTGAATCATGGCTGCTATTGAGCTACATAAACCTATACCTGACAAATTAATGCATTCTTGAAGGAGTTGCAAAGGGTTTGTTTTTGGGACCCTAAGTGAGTGGAGAATGGACACCCCTGTCCTCCATTAAGCACTCCTTTGGACTCGTGAACTCGGCTCATTCGAGCCTGTTTCAAAAGCGCTGCGGCTCTTGGAATTATCGCAAGAACCAAGCCCCTCCGGATCAATATGCCTGGTGAAATCTGACGTCATGGCAGTGCAACGTGAAGTGGTGTCATTTCCCTTGGACCGTGAAAGCGATTCTTCTAGTAGGCCTTTGTTTGGCGTGCTTTTAGGACTTTGCTTAGGCCATTCACAGCGCGCCAAAGTTCAAAGGGGCACGTAGAAACTGCTGAAAAAAGATACGAGCTCATAGCACCACTGCTGTTTTGTCACAGACAAGTTAAAACATGAACCGCGCAACGCTCGGTTCGCTTGAATTTGTGCTTTCGTTGTGATCCAGAAAGTAAAGCACACGGCCAAATATTAGCATCACCAGCATCAAGGTGTAAAGGAAGTCTCTCGGTTCTTTAAGCCACGGTTGGCACACTGTTTAAAACACAACATTTCCTTTTGTAGATTAATGTGGTGAAACCAGAACATCAACGCAAAGCAAGGCATCGGTGACTTCACAATGACTTTGTCCTTTGAGATCTTTGAGCTGCATCGTGACGAGAGATACAATGCCTGGCTGTCATTTGTGGCTGACAGTAGCTAAAAGCAGCCAGACAGACTGGGTTTGATATGTTTTGATGATACAGTCGATAGATGGAAGACCTGTGCGAACAGGACCGGTCTACATCAGTGACTCCGCCAAGCACCTTCTGCTGATGGTGCTTGGCTGAAGGTTGTACCAGTCGACGCGACGTCAACTCGAAAGCGAGGCTGTGAGGCCCGCCTTGGACGATGTCTCTGTGGATGCCCAGCACTCGAAGGCTGGATGTTTTTCAATCTTTCTTGTCCTGTCCTGAGTTGCTCTCATTGCCCTCACGTTCATGTCATTCACCCTTTTGTGGCTCAACAGTAGAAGCAACACAATTGCTGTCCTGCTCTGATCCAAGTCACAGAAGTTGAGGCCACCTTGACATGAAGATCATGAGGATTTACGTGGTTTTGGGCTTGCTGAGTGCAGCTGAAGCTACGACACGACTCAGTATGTCGTGATTGAGAGTTTCAGAAATTCTGACTGCAGTGGAAGCCTCACAGCCACGACCGCAAACGTGCCCGGTCGATGTGGTGTTGTTCAGGGACGTGGATGGTCGTATGAGGAAGCAATGATTAAACTCAATGGACAGGAGACCGGCCACATCCGTCCCTGCTTTCAAATAATACATGTGAGGTTACACCTTGTTTTCTGTGGGTGATTCCTCAGGTCAACTGTTTAGGTGTCAAAACGTATAACACATCCAATTATTTTATGTTGGTATCACGACAGTCGATGGGTGCCTCCTTTCTCCTTGGATGGCAGGAGATTTCTATCACGTACCATGGTCATAGAGCTCACGTTATAGAGCATTCAAGATCGAAGACTGGAAGCTTCGCCCGCCAATCTGGCGCATCCTGAAGTGACCACAACATCAGGGACACCCATTGCAACGCCATGAATAGACACCATCATACCAATCTCTCCAAGCATTGTTTTGCGTGCGCCTTGGAACTCTTCTTAGGTTTTGGATGGTTTTGGCTGTCTCCCTTCTCTTTGCCAGTCCGTTTGACCTGCATCGACCTGATTGTTTCATATTCTTTCAACACGTCGTACAACTCCATTTAAGGTCACTAGCCTTTTGGTTTCTTCAATCTTTGCTCCTCGCTTCTTTTTTTGCAATTTTTTTTGCCACATTTGTTTGACTCCAATGTGTACGTAGCACACGCTTGTGGGTTTCCTTCCTGGTGTTCTCCTGTGATGCACGAACCTCGCTCAACTGACATTTGTAGATGCACAATGCTCTTGCTGTTGGCGTTCGACGTTCATGGAAAGCATCGTGTATCGATTACATACTGTGTTGCAGGCAGTAGCATGAGGCTTTCTGGTGGCAAGAACCTTTGGCTATACACTAAATATTGTATTGCACTATGTTGGCTTCATTGTCATAGCGGCTCGCAAGGCTCATAGCTATCCTCATGAGGATAGACGGGATCGTGACTCTTGCAAATTCACTTGTCAACATGCCAAGGCTGAACAGATGTCATGGACATCAGCTGATGGTTTGAGACTCGCGTGCACTGGGATTCGCTGCCATGCAGGCTTGGAGCAGCCTTTTGACATAGGGAGCCAGACAAACAAAGTGAAGACACACGCTGCTTGATGACACATGATGGCACACACGCTTCTAGCTGCGCTAGGCGCTAGCTGAGAAAAAGAGCTCAATGGTTATGGAGTTTCTGTCCCCTTAGTTCCACATGGGTATTCAAGCCATCGCAAAACCATGCGATCAACCTGCAATGGGTTCAGTGATTTGGACATGGCTCTCCTGTACTCATCGTTGCTTTTACCATGGGAACGTTTAATTAGTTCAATTGCACGCCATGCCGGCGCAATGGCTTTTGTTTGTGTTGGTGGCGGCGGCGGATAGTCAGGAGCCACCACTCTCTTGGTATCCACATGCACAAGCGCCTGAGGCCTTCAGCCATCAGTATGGATCATCTTCCAGGCCCAGGCAGCTCGCAGGGCAGCTCCCGCCGCAGTTCTTGCGTTGGAGCGTTGCAACTGACGTTTCGATGGATATGATCTTGGAGGCCCAGCTCTCCGAGCCAATTCAATTAGGCACGGCACCGATTGAGCTGATTGGAGACAAGTCTCAGACGATTGCATATTTTTCTGCTCAGATTCACGGCGCTTCACTCCGACTTGCAATGCCTGCGAATGTCCTCCCAGCGACTGACTATCAGATTGTTGTGAGGCCTGGTGCCATAGTGAATTTTGCAGGCCACGGCAACAAGCTAGCGGTCAAGGACATCCGGACTGCTGGTCCAGTCAGTGGCTGGTGGTCTTGCAATCTTGGTGTCAAGTGCATCATCAAGACATCTGTGGATGAAGACTTCAATGAGAGTCAAATAGCAGTGGTGCCAACTGGCTTGTGCAACGCACATGCTTTCAATCATCCACGATCACGAACTCAGTTTCTTCGCTGGACAACAGCGAGCGATGTTAATGATCCCCATGCCACATATGATCTGGGCACACCTTCCAGCAATCCAGGAATTTACGATCTTTGCTGGAGGTCTGGGCCGGAAGTGGCATACTCTGCGTTCTTCGGACAGTTGCTGTTGGCAGGCCCCAACACTTGCAGCGCCATGTGCCTGAGAGGCCGTAGCTGTCCTTTAGAAGTTTCTGGTTTCCAGGTCCCAGGAGGCACCATCAGCGCACATTCTGGACCGAGAGGAAACTGCGATGGAGATCCAATTGCAGAACTGGTGCTTGATGAAGAGCTGAATGGAAGTTCTTCAGTCATCCCTGCAGCTGCATTTCATCACACAAGCAGCGGTAACTACACCCTTTGCTGGAGGCTCCATCCAGGACGCGCAATCTTTTGTGGAATGCTTTCAGTGTCAGGTCCCATAAAGCTCACTGGTGCACGAGGTGCAGTGCTGGAGCCAGCCGCTTCAAAGCCCTTTGAGCTTCACGTCTTTGGAAATGCCCTTGCCATGAGCGACAGCATTGCCTTTGTCAATGACGAGGACTGCCTGCAGAATGAGAGTTCCAAGCAAGAGGGAGACGATGTGGAGTCTCAGATGCAGAACTCTTCTGTTGTACTTCAGGCTGTTCAGCTTGCTGTATCTACATCTCCATGGGTCGGATTCACAGCTTCCCGCAAGACTTCTTTACGCTGGACAGTTCCAGGAATGCCAGCTGGCAACTACACGCTTTGCTGGTGGTGCTTTGGCTGTGATCCGGTACCAGTTGGACGTCTCAACATTTCTTTGCCGCTCTGTGGGAATGGAAAGCGAGAGGCCTTAGAGGCCTGTGATGATGGGAACATGGAGCCGGATGACGGCTGCAGCCCAAATTGTCAGCTGGAACCCGGATTCGATTGCGAAAGCCGAGCTTCTTTGCCTGATTTTTGCCGTGAAGTGATTGACTTGATGTTATCCGCAACCGCCTCAATGACAGGAGATCCAGTGACTCCAGTCTCAAACCTTATATCAGGTTTGCCATGGCTTCTTTCTTCAATAGAAGGATCAGCTCTGATTGAACTACCAGGTCTTCACCAACTTCGGTCGGTGCGATTTGAGATGATGTTCAGCGGGCAGATGGGAATTCATATAGAAACCCATAAATCTGGCCTTTGGAAGAGTCTGGCACGATTGCCGTTGGATGATCAGCTTCACAATTCCAGCAGCTGGACATTTCAAGATACTGAGTCCCAATCTTGGGCCAAACTTGATTCTCAGCGACATGTATTTGTATCAACCTTGCAGCCACATTTGTGCACTGCCATCCGAGTCACCATCAGATTAACTGATCGGTTGGGGCAGGCAAGTGGCCAACGCAAGCTGCACAAATACAATTGGAACTGCAGGAATGAGGTCAAGAAATTGGAACCATGTGAGACTATTGACGCTTGCCAACGCTTCTGCTTTCAATTCGACTACTTTGCTTTCTATTCGAAATCACCGGAGACAGGATGTAGATGCTATGTATCTTGTGCCTCTGGCGAGCCAGTGGCTCAAGGCTGGCAATCAACTGTGTATCAGACCATCCAAAATATCAGTGACACCGGTCCTGTATCACCCTGGGGGCTCCGGAGTATGGAATTGATTGGTGTCGCAGAGGCTGTGAACTGTTCACTCGCCCCAGATTGCCGTGCTTTGCATCGCTTAGCATGTGAGGATGGCAGGGTAGATCATCAGTGCGGTGACTGTCGTGACAATTGGGTTGGAAAAAGTGGCCCAAGTGTGGATCGCTGCAGTCCTCCACAAGTTCAAGAGTGCTTGACAGATGATTGGGCAGATTGGAGCAGTTGCTCCCGGACATGTGGCATTGGTTGGTTCACACGCACACGATCCATCGTGCAGTATCCAGATGAAGGTGCCGATGATTGCCCTCTTCTTGAAGAAAAAAGACGATGTAACCTCGGAAAGTGCAATGAGCAAGCACCGTTCTGTGTGACTCGAAATGCCAGTGAGACTACTGTCCCATCCAGACGCTTGTCCATGGTTCGCTCACCGCGCTTGCTTGGGGCTAGTGGCGCCCTTCAAGCAAACACGAGGCGGTTACAAGATGCCGGGAATGAAGAGCTTGCAGAACTGGAGGCAAGCATCATGCAGCTGGGCGCCGGTCTTCAGATTGAGTCTGAGTCTGAAGACCAATCCTGCCAGCTTTCTGCTGCCGGTGTTGAGCAGATGGTAAGGCTGCAGGATATTGTGCGCGGTAAGCCAAACACAGGGTGCTCAAAAGGCTTCTACATCCACCAGATGATTACTAGATGCATCACTGCCGACTCAGACCAGTGTGACAAAGCATCTGGTGGATTTGAGCCTGGCTGCTACTTGGTGCACTGCTGTGAACAATGTGCTGCTGATTGCGCAGAGTGCTTCGGCCCTGCGATTGAGGACTGCTTGGTATGTGGATCAGGCAAGCTCCTTTTCTTGCACGAAAGTGGCAGGCGACAGTGCATCACCAGCGCCACTTGTGCCAAACTAGGCTGCTTTCGACCAACAGCTGATGGAAAATGCGAGCGAGATTTGAAGAGGTGGGACTGTGATGCTGACGCTGTGGACCATGAGCAGGACAAGATCGAGCAGCTCGAGCCGGTCAACGACTCCTGTGCCCCAACGCTGGCACCACGGATCCCACGAGCTTGCTCCGAACAGCCATCTCTCGATTGTTCCGATGAGGCTTCCGGAAGACTTTGCTTTTATGATGATAGCTGCAGGACTGCAGTGGGCACGGCGACAAGTGGATGTGGTGCTGGTGGATACCCAAACTGCCGCTGGTGTGGCTTTGATGGCTATGTCAGTTGCCCACTGGGTCGAAGACTGCAGGAGGACCAGATCGACTCTCGCACCTCTGCCGCCGCGCAGCGAGCTGCTTTGAAGTTCCAAGCGGCAAGAGCTGTGAACAAGCTCAAGGGCTATGGGAAGACGAAGTTGAAAGAGTTGGTCGTGCCCCACCTTGAGAGCTTTCTGAAGAAGAAGGTTCAGGACCCTCTACTCGATACATTGAGAGCCGCAGTCGGGCATGCCATCAAGCAATCTCTGTCCACAGTGGCTCAAAGTTTCATGCTGCAAGCGAAGGAGAGTGTTTTGGATTTTTTCAACGTTGTGACTCCCACAGTGTCCTTGCTTTCAGACAGGTTGCAAAGCAGACTTGCAGAGAAGTTTGGTCCAGATCTTCCCCACAACCAGTGCAAGCAGCTCTCAAACATTGCTTCCAAACTTCTGCCACCATTCAATGTGCAGGACTCCCAAGACACCGTCAGAATCAGACAGGTGTATCAAAAAGTGCAGGAGCAGGCAACGCCTGTCATACAGGATTCTGCTTGCCACGGTGTGCGACTTTTGCTCAGACAGGCAGGAGTACTTGCTGTAGAGACTCTCCTTCCCCAAGCTGATGCCATTTTGAACGAGTCCTGGCAAGGCATTCATGTAACAAGCGTGCAGGACGAGTTGCCCAGGGTCTTTGCCATGGTTGCTGAAGGGAGGGGGACCTTGTCAGCAGAGCTGTCTCGCACGATGCAAGTGGATGTATTGGCTGTCGTCAATCACGAGCTTCTTCAGGTTGAAAGCGAGTTGAGAGAGACAGCCAGGGGTGCCATGCACGCCCTTCTGCCACAAGTATTTGATGTTGGCAACACAGAAGCTGGACAAGTGCAACGGGTGGTGGACTTTTTCATACACAAGATTCAGGGGCATAGCGTGGAATTGATCCAGAGCAGCCTCCACATGGCTTTGAAAGATGCTGCAAGCCATGCTGCCTCATCTGAGGAACCAGTTGGTGCTCTAGAGGTTGCACTTGACAAGGGCTTGGCTAGTTTTAGATCTGGCGTTCTCAGCTTCGGCCAAATCTTCAATGTTGACCTTGCGATGACACTTGATTCGATTCTTCCTCCAGCGCAGCGGCAACTCAAGAATATCCTGAAGCAGCTCATCTCGGGTACGGCTTCGAGCTTGATTTCAACCATAGTTCGTCGTGTGGACGACATAGCCAGTACTGCAGTTGAGCGTGTTGGGGATGCGATCTCCAATCAGGTGAATGGTTTGGGTGTGAACCTGATCAGAACAATGTCAACTGAGATGACAAAGGCGCTGGAGAAAGATGGCAACGTGTTTGATTCTGTTGCTGAGGCAGTCAAGAAAGTCCTCGGAAGTCTTCCGAAACAAATTAAGAAGCAGCAATTGGTGTCACAGATTTGGAGCAACGCGAAGAAAGAAGTGGGGAGTTCCATAGCTGAATTGAAGAACTTGGTGAAGACCTCCATCTATGAGATGCAGGACGCTTCCGGTCAATTGCATCAAGATTCAAGGAAAGCTGTGAATGCCGCCACGCAGGATGCAATCTTTCAAGTCCTGCTGTTTGTAGCCTCCAGAGTTGTTTCTTCCGTCTTGGCGCCTGACATTGTGCTCCATCTGGTGGATGCCATCGCAGCGACAGAAGTGGGAGATGCTTTGCAGGCAGCTGCAGTGAGACTTGCGAGGGAGCAAGTGGGATCTGTGCTGAGCCTTCCGGAGCCTGCCTCTTCCGATTCATCCTTTTCGTTGGATGCAACCCTTCAGCAGGTGGAGCAAAATGTTGAGATAGTCCAGAACTTTCTACAAAGCATGTCCACACCGTCATTGGCAGACAAGTTCAAAGTGTGCATGGGCTCCGAAGCCGAACAGCTGCACCATGAGATTGCGGAGATCATGGTTCAAATTGCAAGCAAGTTTGCAGTGCAGCAGCTACAGAAACACTTTTTCGTTACCACGCTGAGCAAGCACACTGACCAGGCACCGGTTGATGCGCAAAGCATCTTGAAAGCCTTGTATGCTGTGCTTCAACAGTCGCTTGGGCACTGCTTTGAACCCCTAGTATCGTCGGAGCTCGTGAAGTTCTCATTGCAGACGGTTGCCAAAGCACGCGCTGTGGCAGCCCAATGCTCATCGGAGCCTGCTGTCATGCATTTGAGTTTCCAGCGAGAAGTTGCCACTGAGAAGTACACAACTGGCAAGTTGCGTGTGAACATATCTGGTGACCAGCGCTTGCTCCTAGAATTTGCGGAGTTGGGGTTGCCAGATCGAATTCCAGCAGGGATTTACTCGGCATCGGTGCAAGCTCTACAGGGCTCCTCATGCGGAGTAGACAATCTTGTTTTGGAAATGGTGCCTGACCACAAGACCACGTGGATCACCTGCGGGACCTTTGCGACAGAAGCGGTCCGATCGGACCGTCGCAGCCTTCTGGTTGCAAACTCCTCAAATATCTTTGGCACCTACATTGCTTTGCTTGAGTCTGCAAGTTCCTTCGCACGAGTGCTGGAGCTAGCGCGTGAGCATTCCGGGGAGATTCTGGTGACGGTGCATGATGAGTCTACAGCAAGCATACCGTGGGAGCAAAGTGTTGAAGAGCAATTTGCGCGACTGGCGCATGGTGCTCATGCTTCAGCAGATGCAGCGGAAAGTGCTAAGACCCATGGAGCACAAGGTTGGGCCCTTCACTTGGATGTTTGTGGTAGCGTGCATTGCGCCTATGTTTCTGTCAGCGGCTCTCGCTGTGCTATAGCTTTTGGGGGTTCATCTCAGGTCCTCAACTGGGCAACAGGTAGCGGAAGCTTTCAAGACATGCAGTCTCTTCTGCTGTCTGCCAAGCAGAAGCCAGCCCGGTTTCAAGCTTCTCATTCGGAGATTGATGTTCATCAAGGTGTCTTGGAGATCTATGAGAACATCAAGCAATCTCCAAACTGGGAGCTTTGGATTCAGGTGTCTTCAGGTGACACACGGTGCAGTGAGGTGCATGTGTTGGGTCATGGTTTGGGAGGCGCGGTGGCTGTGTTACACCACCTTGAACGTCCACAGCCACGGATGAATGACCTACGAACTTACGGTGCTCCTCGAATATTCAACGCTTCACATCCAACTGCGACTTGCGAAAGGGCCCGGCGCTTTTGGCTGCAAGATGGACAGTGTTCTGACCCAGTAGCCTCCATGCCTGCTGCGCTTCAGCATGACTGGATGATCAGCTCACCTTTGCAATTGAACAAGGACGTTCCAAACCTCCGAACAAAATCAGGCAGCTGCGGGGACAACTCTGGCTCCACAGAGGCATCGCTATGGGATCGATGTAGATTGCTGCACTTGCCCGAGAACTACTTGGCGGCCTTTCATACCGACAGCCCCTGTGATGACGCGCAGGTGGGAGGGTGGGCAGCATTTGTTCATTGAAACTGAATTTGCAAAAGGTGGGTCTTAAGGTAGACTCTCTCTTCAACCCAATATAATTTAGATTCAGTTGATTTGGCCCGCTGTTCTCAGGTGCTTTTGAGTTCACTCCACATCAACGACAACGCAGGAACCTCGGCAATCTTCCCAGGAGACACATTGCGTTTGACGTGGAAACCCTGTGGGGTGCGCACTCTCAAGATCGTGCTCTTGGGCGAAACTGGCGAGCCAGTCAGCAAGCAGTCGCAATGGCTCATGGACGCTCGTTTGCGTGAATTTGCCCTAGTGTGGCGTCAGGACTTGGTCGTCGCAGGTAGCAGGTTCCGCATCCAGCTGCGAGGTCTTGATTTGTCCATACCGAGCCCCATGAACGCCGTCATGGTCACTTCCCGCTGGCTTTCTTCCCCAGGTGCCAGATGCCCCGATGCAGTCGCTGAGGGGTTGGATGTTGCTTTCATGGCAAAGTTTACCAATGAAGTCTCCAGCATACTGCAGGAACAAGCTGCTGAGTTTTTGCGAGACAAACTGGAAAGCATCATTCAAGCATTTGTTCCAGGAGTGGTGACTGCCTTGAATGAGGAAGTGATTTCCAGAGTTCCAATGGATTTCCAGGCGTTGCATGCCCTTTACAACCACGCACCGAAAATCCTTCGACGGGGGTACCCCCTCTATTCAGAAGTCCACTTAGCTTCAGATGTTTTTGGATTTGACGCTACTAATGACATTCTCAAGCCTTTGCTGATCACAGCCCTGGCCAATCTTGGAGCTCCTGTCTCTGTCACGGCAGCTGTTTCAGAAGCAGAGCCACAACCCGATCGGCTGGATGACTTGATGATTGCAGGGCATCAGATGTCCTCGTCTAGCACGCTCTCTTTCTCTCATTTGGACTTGCTTACAACAGCCTTTGGCCTTGATACGGCCAAGTTGGTAGAACTTGTGATTCCAATTCTCATCGCAGGTTTACGAACTGCAGGGGTGCCTGAGGCAGCTTTGGATCACAACTGTCAAGCCAGCATTGGGGCAGAACAGCTGGAACCACTGCGCGCAAATATCTCTGCCGTATTGGCGCGAGGCCATTTCATTTGCGCCGACCTTGAGTTTTTGGCGCACACCTTGAACATCAACTTCATAACCGGATTCCTTGAGCCTCTTTTGCAGGCAGCATATCGAGGGACTCGGGTGCCCTCAGTTCTCACCGACGCGAAAGTTGTTGGGCCGAATGATCTAGACGAACTCTGCATTTCTGCCACGAGCATTCTTCGCCGAGGCTATGTGACGCATGCCCCTTGTTTACCCTTTGGTCCATTTGTCGGAGAGATTAGGTTCAGTTTGGTATTTGACCCTGGTTAGCCGACTTGTTTTGATGTCGGCCGCATTAGTTTGCTGAACAAACAACACGGTTCAAGTTTTCCTTGCAGTGACACCCCCCTTCAAAGCGCCTGATTTGTGAAACTCATTTTTTCCCGAAAGCACCTGCGAAGGGTTTCTTCCAAAGGACATCTGCTCACATCAACTTCCAACATAATCTTTATCATCATCATCATCATCATCATCATCATCATCATCAGCATCATCATCATCATCATCATCATCATCATCATCATCATCATCATCATCATC